AGTGACAAAAGACTGCCCGTAACCTACACAAATGTCTGTCCTCCCACACTGTCCCCAACCCATCCTTCTCAGAACCCTGATTTTTCTACTCAGTATATTGCAACTCAAAACAGAAGACTACATTCCCAGCTACCCTGACACCTGGGGTGGGGTAGCGAAGATGGGACTAACTTCTGTCCATGACATATATTGAAAGTGTTTGTGAGACTTCAGAAAGGTCCCTTAAATGGAGCTGATTCAGCCTAGCAGGTTCCTTTCATGCCCTTCTTTCTCTGGCCAGCCACACAGCCATGATGCTGGACTACCAATCTTCTGCCATGAGTATGCTGTTTCTTACACCAGCCACAGTCAAGTTCCCACTAATCCATCTACATTTGTTCAAACAGCACCTCCAGAAGACAAGAGGGCAATGATGAGAACCATCATGCCAAGCCAAGCAAACTACAGAGCAGAGGCTATCCTAATGGCAATGTGAACCTACAAAATAGAGCTCTTGCAAATAATCAGACTGTATAGATAAGAGAAGATGCAAACTACAGGACACAGATTACTCTAGGTGAAAAATTCCTGCAATCTAGAGATTAGAATGAGCACCAGGACCAAAAAACATTCTTGTAGACCTAAAAGCAATACTATAGGGGCAAAAAATTGGATCTTGAGTCTGAAAACATGGAAGAAGAGCTCACCTCTGACAATCATGTACTGTAGGCAGAAAAAAATATCTGAGAAAATAAACCAAATTCATCTTGCCTTTTTTCTTTCTTAGATGTTGTAATTTTTACTTTATTGCTGTTGTTTTGGTGGTGTTATTGTTTTTCTGGATGGAATTCTCTAGAAAATACAAAGAAGGAGGGCTCTCTGACACAGAAAGCTATAAGAAGTACAAAAGCTAAGTTGCAAAAACTTCAGGATGCAAGAAAAAACAAAGAAGCAAGTGGAACTTCAAAAAATTTACAAATAATCCATAGGAAAATTTAAAGCACATTGGTAGCAGTAAGTAGTAGACTATATATTGGAAATTTGAAGTAGTAGGGGTGCCCCAGTGGCTCAGTTGGTTAAGCATCTGACTTCAGCTCAGGTCAAGATCTCATGGTCCCTGAGTTCAAGCCACATGTCAGGTCTGTGCTGACAGCTCAGAGCCTGGAGCCTGCTTCAGATTCTGTGTTTCCCTTTCTTTCTGCTTCTCTCCTGCTCATGCTCGCTCTCTCTCTCTCTCTCTCTCTCTCTCTCTCTCTCTCAAAAATAAACAAACATTAAGAAAAAAAAAAGAACTCAAATTTTGATACCAGATAAAACTGGCCTTAAATCCTAGAATAACTGTTTCAGTGATTTTGGACAAGTTAGCCATTTCCAAATTGGGCTTAAAAAAAAAATTCCAGTATGTAGAAAATTAGGGGGAAAAGAGAGAAATGATAAGGAGGAAAGAAGACTGTGAAGCCAACATTCAAATAATTGCTACTCAAGTGTAAAGCAAATGAACAAAAATAATAACCAAAAATGTTGCAAAATAAAACTTCCCTGAACTGAAAAAAAGACCATCAGAATGAGACCAACAATGACACATCATCCTTCTCCCTCTTTTTTCACTTTAGAAATAAGAATCTAGGTAGAAAATATACATGTCACATACGAAAGCACAAAAATGCTTTGCCCTCTAAAATACCAAAAGTTAAAAGATGATGGTGAAAACCTGTAAATTTTTCTGGGATATAAATATACAATCCAACAAAATATCTCTCCAGCTAAAATGTGAGGAAAGGCATTCTAATATATACAAATTCAAATCAATAAATAAAGAAGAAAATTAATGTATTAGAAAAAGGGAGACTAAGCTTGATAAAGAAATCCAAGCTCTTGCTATTTGGAAAGGTAAGAAAAAATAATTCTGGAACATGTAATAATTCAAAAGAGGAAATACAAATATATATGAAAGAAATGAGAAGTGCTTTATAAACACAGATTGAAAAATTATAAAAATTTGAGATGTCAAGCAAGAAAAATCTGGATAAAATGTATAATTTTCTAGAAAGTTGCCAAAATTAATTCAAGAGGCAAAAATAGGCTGAAAACCATGATAAATAATGAAATAGTTATGAAAATGTACCCCTGAAATGGCAACTAGGACCAGATAGATACATGAGTAAATTCAACAAAATCTTCAAGAAATAAAGAATTCTCATGCTGTTTAAATTTTTCAGAATGCATAAAAATATTTCATCTTCCCATGTCCTGATATAAAACCAGTATAACTCTCACATCAAAACTGATGGAAGCAGCTCAAAAAAGAAACTGTGGTCTAATGTGTCACAAACATAGTTATAACAAATTTAAATAAATGATATAAAAATCTGTTTGAACATAATATGTTTAACTTTTAAAACAGTCAGGGAAACATAAGTCCATGATAGGAAATTTTTTAAAATACACATCTATCAGCCCACCTTCTTTAAAAGGAGAAAAAGAGGGGCGCCTGGGTGGCGCAGTCGGTTGAGCGTCCGACTTCAGCCAGGTCACGATCTCGCGGTCTGTGAGTTCGAGCCGCGCGTCGGGCTCTGGGCTGATGGCTCGGAGCCTGGAGCCTGTTTCCGATTCTGTGTCTCCCTCTCTCTCTGCCCCTGGCCCGTTCATGCTCTGTCTCTCTCTGTCCCAAAAATAAATAAAAAAACGTTGAAAAAAAAATTTTAAATAAAAGGAGAAAAAGAATGAAAAAAAAATGGCAAAATAGTTTGGACCTCCCAGTTAGGGTAGTAGACAATGAGAGAATCTGCCCACTCCAACACTTGATGAGAGGAACAAAAATACATGACATAAACTTTGAAAAGAGGTGGCCAAACAAATAAATAAAAGAGGCTCATTTGCTCCAAGAAGTCTTTTAACCTTATCTGCATCTCTCAGAAGAAATGGTAGGGAAAGTAGATGATTCAAGTAAGTCCTCAAAATGTTACTAATATTTCTAAAAATAGAGAGGAAGCTGGGAGAGCAGGCTGCTGGTGAGAAAGTCAAGGGAGCACTCTGGCAAACATCTCCACCAGAAGAGCCCACAGAGGAAGAGAAAACTTCCAGGGACCACCATTCTCCCCCTCCCAGCTGGAGAGGAAATAATAGAGGCAATACACTGCAGAAATGAAGACAAAAGGTCAGATAAATAAGAAAACTATAAAAACTGTTCACAAGAGCCAAAACTTGAGAGATGAAGCAGAAGGTAAAACCCCTTTTGTCCCCCAGTTGACATGATAACGGGGCTACACCCACAGTAAGTGTTATCCTGAAGGGGGGACGAAGGGTGAATGCTCACAACTGGGAGAAATGTGGAAGTGAAACAAGGAAAATGAAGATTTTAAACAACCCATCTACTAGAAGCATAAGCTTCAAGGTCTCGCACACAAGCCAGAAGACTGGTCTGAAGGGCTCAGGAAGAGAACACACTCCAGGTAGATGGAGTAGACTGTGAAACGGGAAATTTGCCCAAATCAGAGAAGAAAAAGCAGAGTCAGAGTTTCCATCATCCCTCCTCTCTTGACCTGAGGCTAGGGAAAAATTAAGTGCTAGCAACACCCAGATCTCAGAGTGCAGCTCTGAGAGAGAAAGATGAGAAGGAGAGGTCTCATGGAGAGGGGATCCTGGAAAATTCACAGACACACTTCCAGAGCAACCAAAGCACGTTAAGCACGAGCGAGACGAAGAGAAATGGCATTGCAATTATATAGAAGCGCAACAGAAATACAGGGAAGAAAAGTGACATGACCTACAAGAGAGACAGAAAAATCTTACTTGGAAAGAAAACACATTCTAAGAGCTTAAGAGACTGTCTTACATTGACTCATTGTGTGCAAGGACTTAGTGGCAATATGAAGGGGGAAAAAATGAAAGCCCCTAAAACAACAGAAGTAGGTAATAAAGGCAGTCTGCAGAGATCAACTGGGACTGCGATGACACCATTAGAATCATTACTCCTCTAGTTGATAGATTAGAAAGAGCAAGGAGGAGCTAAAGTCATATTAATAGGATAAAGGAAAGGCTTGAGATAGTCCCGATATCAGAAAACAAGTTCGAAAGAAGCTGACAGAAGGCAAAGCTAGTATAACAGAAGGATATTTAATGCCTCTGTCATTGTGATCCAACACATAAAACAGAAGAGATATTCAGAAATATTAAAAAGAAAAGTCCCTGAAATGAGAGAGAAGCTCAGATTAAAGAACAGAGCTTCTCTACTGAGGAAAAGATATAGAAAGATCAACATCACCAGGTATTAAGTATTAAGGCGTTAAGTTTCAAGGACAAAGAAATAAGTTTTCAGGCATCCAGAAAGAAAAAGCAAGTCAGTTAAAAGGATGGAAGTCAGGTTGGTTGCAGACTTCTCCACAGCAACATACTAAACCAGAAAACAGTACAGCAATATCTACAATATCTTGAGCGAAAAAAAATTATACTATATCAAAATAGATTATAACCAGACACACGTGTTTTGGAAGAAGGGCAACAAGCAGACAGGCCAAAAATGAAAGAACTTAGGAAATACAATGCATAAGACCTTCCTGAGGGAAAAAACAAATGCAAATAAAGTAAGCCCACCAACAAGTGAATGGGGAAATCATAGTAAAAGGACTAGTTCCATACTCAGTGCCATAAAATAATAGAGAAATGTCAAAAAAAAAAATTCTAAGTCTGGTGTCCCACAGGATGAAGCAGAACATATATAAAGGGTCAAAACAGATTGGATTCACTGAATTAAAGAGCACACACATCACCAAAACAAGAGAGCTACAGTCAACTTTGCCTTAACAGAGTAAGAAACAGTTAAAAGGAAGTCATATTACGAGATCTTTGCTATTTTCAAGAAAATCCAGAAATCCAAACTTCTGTCTTAATTCTCCCAATTAAGGAAAATAAAGTCCGTCTGTTAGTGTTGGTTAGGACATCGAGGGCAGGGAAAGAGCGAAGAAAGGGGCAAACCGCTCCAGATTGGTAGGCAGCAGTTTTTAAAAAGCAGGGGAACTTACAAGACTTGTCTTCAGCAACTGCAAGAGAAGCCGCGTACATCTCCGCACCTGCTGTCAGAATCTTAAGTTTATACAGAGGCCTTAACTGGCTATAGTCACGTATTCAGACCAAATAGCCTCAACAGCAACACACTCTCTCAAGCGAACGTCCTTGAAACAGTGTGATAATGGTGGGCAGAATGTACATTCCAAAGACAAGGGAGGAGCCTCTGGTTGCCCGAGTCCAGCTTAAGGGTGGACCCAAGGTCATGTCCTCTCGATGGCCTCCGCCAAAGTTAGCTGGCCTGGCTGGTTGGTAACCAGTTTGTCACCTCTAAAAACAAGGTAAAATAAGACCTAAGAACGATGCCCACTCAGTCTAATCTTGGAGGCAGACAATCAACTGAAAACTTTCCATAGGAAAGAATTCATGGAATAGGAGTACTATGGACCCTCCTTGTACTTAATGATAGAAAGTGGGCAATAAATGATGTAGAAACTGTGATAAGACCAATAGTGAGCAGTGAATCAATTTAAATACAGAAGTAAAACTATGACTCTAGTAATTATCCTTGCCAAGTAACATAATGCAAAAAATATAAATCTTGGCAATGTAAAACAAATATATATAGCATATGTATATTATATATACAACTAACAGGTGGAAGAAAGAGAGGTGGGAATAAACATAAGCATACTAAAAATATATGTGTAATTTTTAGAAAGATATTCCATTATTTCAATGTTCTCACGCATTTTCTTTTTTTTTTTATTTTTTTTAACGTTTATTTGTTATTGAGAGACAGAGAAAGACAGAGTGTGAGCAGGGGAGGGGCAGAAAGAGAGGGAGACACAGAATCCGAAGCAGGCTCCAGGCTCTGAGCTGTCAGCACACAGCCTGATGTGGGGCTCGAACTCACAAACTGGGAGATCATGACGTGAGCCCAAGTCGGTCGCTTAACCGACTGAGCCACCCAGGCACCCCTCATGCCATCATTTTCTTAATCTTTCAGTGATTGTTTAAGAATTAAAATATGTTTCAGTAGGGGCGCCTGGGTGGCTCAGTCGGTTAAGTGTTCAACTTCGGCTCAGGTTTATCCACAAAGCTAATATTTATCCACAAAGATAAATTTTATCCACAAAGCTAATATTACATAGGGAACAAAGATAACCATTTCACAGTTCAAAGAGTTCTGAGATCCATATTAGAGGTAAATACACAGTTCATTAACATATCTGAATGTGTATATGTATAGTCACATACTGAAATATTATAAGCAGGACAGTGTAGGAAGGTAAGACAGGTGTGAATGATAAATCATGTGGAGAAAAGAGTAGAATCTAATGGTAGAGAAATGAATTCACCGTGAAGCTAATGAAACTTAAGCTTAAGGGCTCCTCACTTACACCAGACACTGTCAAGCCCTAGGAGGGGGTGTACCAATGTGTTCACATAGTCATATAATTTTTTACAAAATTTGCAACAGTAGGATATTTTAACTTCAGTTAGTAGGGCTTCTGTCTTTTTCTACTCATTTTCCCCACTGGCCCACTTTCCCTCCCACAGAGGGAAGTAGCCATGAGTATTTGTGGTTCAGCTACGGAGAAATTAAGTTGGGTACATTTGTTGGGCTTAGTGGAATACACTGATGTGATTCACAGTCATCTGTATATACTGTTAAGCTATTACTCTCCTTCACAGCATAGGACTGGCTTCCAAAAATACTCTGCAATATACTTTGCCGACTCTTTCTCTCTTCTGACATGAAGGTGCAGGCTTATAGGATATGAACATGCCTACAGTTCACAACCCAGGGAACATGTGGATCATTTAAGGAGAACAAGACTTGAAAAGTATAGACTCAGAAGCCAGTCTGCAGAAAACTCTTCTGATCATCAGACCTGTAACACTGCAAACAGATGAATTGGCACCTTAGTATGCCTCAATTAGAAGTTTGTTGTTTTTTTTTTCCCCTGGCAGAAGCAAACTTGATAAAGCAGAGTAAACAATTCTGACCACACTGAACTTTTTTTTTATAGCAACCATGAGAAATAGAATTTATCAGACTCTGTGTTTGTAGCACACAAACCTATAACAGAACTATAAACAGGAAGTACATCTGCATGTGAAATTCTGTTTCATGCATCCCAACTCTCAGTGACAAAGACACAAATTTCATCCAGCCATGTTAGAGGTAAGATTGAATTATCTGTCTGCCTTCTCCATAGAAAACGATCTTAGAAAATTGTTGTCCTGTAAAAAGGCAATCAGATCTTATAAAACTAAACATATTATTACCATATGCCAGTAATTGTACTCTTTAGTATATTCCCAAAGGAATGAAAATTTATACACACATAAAAACCAGCACACAAATGTTTGTAGCAACTTTACTCATAATTGCCAAATACTAGAAACAACTTAGATGCTCTTCAGTAGTTGAATGGATAAATAAACTGTGGCACATCCAGACAATGCTACAAAGAAATAAGCGATTAAGCCATGAAAAACCATTGAGGAACCTAAAATGCATACTACCAAGTGGAAGAAGCCAAAATGAGGCGGCTACATATCATAGGATTCCAATGTAAGATTTTCTGTAAAAGGCAAAACTATAGAGACAGTGAATAGATCGGTGGTTGCCAGAAGCTGGGGGAAGAGACGAACAGGCAGAGCATAGATGAATATATGTTATTACACTTGTGAAATGTCTAAACCTGTGAAATGTCCAACACCAAGAATGAACCTTAAAGCAAACTACAGACTGTGGGTGATAATGATGTGTTAACGTAGGTTCATCCTTGGTTAAAAAAAAGAAAAAAAGAAATGCAGGGCGCCTGGGTGGCTCAGTAGGTTCAGCACCAACCTCAGCTCAGGTCATGATCTCACAGTTCGTTAGTTTGAGCCCCGTGTCAGGCTCTGTGCTGACAGCTCAGAGCCTGGAGCCTTCTTCATATTCTGTGTCTTACTCTCTCTCTGTCCCTCTCCCGTTTGCACTCTGTCTCTCTCTGTCTCTCAAAAATGAATAAATGTTGAAAAAATTTAAGAAAAAAAAAATGCACCATTCTGGTGAGTCAGTAATAGAGGAGGCTAAGGGGGTTACCTAAGATATCTCTGTTCCTTTTTCTTCATTTTGTTGTAAACCTAAAAGTGCTCAAAAAAAAAAAAAAAATTAAGGCTTAAAAAAAAAGGCAGAGACTATGCAGCCAAAAAATAATAAAGGTTAAAAAAAGGCATTATAGAATGTAGCAGGCAGTTTATTAATATCGTTATTATTTTTTCTTTTTTTAAGTTTATTTATTTATTTTGAGAGAGAGCACAAGAGGGGGAGGAACAGAGAGAACCCCAATCTACTGACGATGCACAGCCCGACGCAGGGCTCGAACTCATGAACTGGGAGATTATGACCTGAGCAGAAATCAAGAGTCGGATGCTCAACAGACTGAGCCACCAGGTTCCCCTTGCATTATTTTTCTGAATTTTATTATGTCTGTGGCAATTGTCAGCTTTTTTAATTTTCTGATTCAATGTGTTTCCTTTTCTCATTCTAAACACTTTCTAAACACTTCTGTATCTAATTTTGTATTTGGAATTTCGTATTCTTTTTAAAGAGGGCTCCAAAAATTGTAAGTAGTGGCCTCCATAAAACCTACATCTGTCTTTGTTCAGGGGAGGTAGCTTTAAGCAAAAGTGAATTTACAAAAGTAGTGAATAATACTCTTGAGGACCATTATCAAATCACCAAGGTCTCCAAATATCCTCAAAAGTGCTCAAAAGGAAAGAACTTGAGTAAGTGAGGGTTCTTTGAGACCCAGGTGTCACCAGGAGCTTACATGGCCTGCTCGGCCTAGAGAGAGGCCAAACGTGAATTCCACGTTTGGCATTGTCCCTGAGAGAGTTCATCCACTCTTCCCACAGCCTTCCCCTCAACATCAACAGATCACCTTCCTATGAGCCACCTTTCCTTACAGTGTTTGCACAGGTTTTTCTTAAGCATACCACAACAGAGCACATCATGACAGAACACGGTTGTTTACTAAGTCCCATGTGTAATATACAGGAAGGTGTACTTAATCATCCTGTCCTCATATCTTCGTCTCTTTCCCCGAAACACGGCAGAGCAACATAGCACACTTCTTCCATATGCTACTCCTGCAGCTGCCCCCTCTTCCCTGCTCCCCCAGTTTTACAAACCTTAACAACAGTGGCATTTGAGAAAAGCCTGGAATGTCTGGAGAGGTTCTGCATGACGGAAACTGTATTTAGAGAAACTAAGCACCAGAGCAAGCAAAGTAGGCCATAAACATCTGCCAGTGTCCTGCTGTCTGAAGCAAATGTAAATGGATTCCTGGCTTTTTTCAGAACCTTAGAGTCAACGATAGGATGTAGGTACAAACTTAGGGCAGATCTAACTCTAGCTCCTGGTTTAGAAACCAAGAAGCTCAATTTCTGACACTCATTCCCTAATTCTACCTCCTAAAATGACCAACCAAGGGATAAATGATGATATGGAGAATACTACTATGAATCACAACCACAGATTTCCATAGACAGACATTTTGTTCTCTATTATATTTTTTTATCATTATTTCTTTCCTCATTCAGGCAAGGATTTTGCCCAATTTAGTAATGAAGGAGCGGGGATCTAAACAAAGAAACATAGCTAAACAGCAACAGGAGTAGAATAAGTCTCTCGCTTGCAGTTTTTGGTTTGGTTTTGCTCTTTTAATCCAGGCAGATAACCAAAAACCAGGGCAGGGAAAAATGTGATAAAGAATCCAGTATGTTCAAGAACCCCAAGCCTGGTAGCTTCCTCAGTAGATGCCATTATTTACACAAACACAAATCTCTTGAAGTGAGACTTAAGATCTGAGCTAATAGTAGAAGTGACCAATTATAAATAAGTTTATTGAAATAAAAAAAATAATTATAATAATAAATTATAATAATAAATTATAATAATAAAAAAATTAAGTGTTTTGCCTTCAAAACATAACATAAAGTCATTCTAGAACTTTCTATGATAGATACTATTATAAAGCTTAACTAAATATCAGACATAAGAACATTGCTTTGAATTTTCTCTGATACATAAAAGCTGATTGCAATTACTTTAATGTTTTCCAGGATTGAAACATTATTAGTGAGAGAAAAAAGTCACTGTATTCATAAAA